TGGTTAGCTGTTGTGTTGGCTGTGAGGCTGAGTTGCGCTATCTAGGAGGGAAAAAGAGGCCACCTGGAGCTGTAAAAATCTCATAAGCCTGCAAAATAAGGAGGGCAGCATGCTGGTGGGAGGTTGGATATTTACTGGAGTGGAAGAATTCCAAAACAGAAATGATTCATTTTCACTGCACAGTCCGTCCCCCCACCACAAAAAAAAATTTCCTTTTTACATATTTCCTGGAATATGTGATCGTACTAGAAGAGCATTTCATGCTCTTGTTATGAAAGGGAATCCAGTCCAGTGGGACAAAGTCATTCTTGGAATAACTTTGAATGAAATCAAGAGTTACAGCTGGACTGACTTCAGTGTAACAAGTCCTCAGGATACTGGTGGCTGCTGCAGTCATGTTTTTGTAGGCAGTCTGGATCTACAAGTTTTCCTAGTATAATAATTGCAGTAAGAGCTGTGAGGTTTTGTAACCAAACTCGTTTATGCTGGCAGAATCCCTTCTTTGGATGATAGGGAGGTGACTTATACCACCTAATTTCTTCCAGTTTTTACTTGGGAGTTGCTGTTCTATTATGAAATGTCTTTATGCTGTCTGAATAACAGGTGTGAATGATTACTTCTGCATTGTAACAGTACCCTTTTCTAGTACAGACAAGCTAAAATGTCTAAACTATTTTATTTTATATAATGCAAATACTAGGATATGGTTGGGGAAGAAAGAAACTACTATCTTGAAACAAAATAGATTGATGCCCCACAATTGCCTGCAAGATAAATTCTGTGTGACAGTAAGAGAACAAAATTCACCAAAATTTTCCATTTTCTTTCACTATTTTTATCATGGTTGGGATCTTTATTTCCTAAGCAATCTGTATAAACATCTGAATGAACTTTTAGCCTGTATATGTCTATTTTAATTTCTAAAATCCAAGTTAATCTTGTTTGCAGCATGCAAAGAACTTGAGCAGGATGTGATAGCACTTCATGTCATCTCCACTTAGAAGTGCAGTAGCCCTACAGTATCTGCCTTGCCACCCCAAGGGGCAGTGGGACACCTGCAGATTTGCCATTGCCAGTTTGACTGCAGATGGTCTAAGGAACTTCGGGGAAGCAGATGTTCCCTGGAGAATCTCCTGGAAGTGAAAGGGAGCATGATAAAGAGAACAAAGTTGCAGGGGTAAAAATTTAAGTATGCAGAAATATGGAGCATCTCATTGAAGGTGGGATTTCACCTGGTATTTTGTCCTGGAAAAAATGGATATAGGCTCAGAAGGTTCTTAAAGCAAGGATAAGCAGATGTGTTTGATGGATTAAAATCAGTGTAACTCAATCAGTGCTTGTAGAGAGCAGCTTTACAGTATTTCCCCATGTATGGCATACACCTTAGGAAAACTCCAGATCAGTACCATAGTGTTCCTTAAAATTAGTCTCCAAGATAATTCACACATCTCAGCAGAGATGGGAGAGCTGATGAAGGACAAAGAGTCTACGCAGTATCTAAAAGGGAAGAAGCAGCTTTGGAGTACCTGAATTTGCAGATTGCTTCTGAGTGGCCCATTATGGGTTAGTATAATGAAAAATAGGCCCCTTGTCTTAAAGCCTCCCCTTGACAACCTGTTTCTTGAGGCAACTTGGAGCTCACAGCAATTAGGCTGTTGGTGGGAGGAATTTGCTATGGGGGTGCCAGGGCTATTCTGGCACCTTGTAACCGGCTTTCCCCAGGGTTGCTCGCTCTCCTGCCCATCACAGGAGTAAAGCATATCCTTGATGTGACAGCACTGGGGCCTTGGGACACTAGGAAAGGTGGTGTTGGAAACAAACAGCCATTGACAGTGATTCAATGGCCTGCAGCTCATTTTCAGGGAGGCCCAAGGGGTGTGCTCCTTCCTGTGGCAACCTGGGGCACAGCAAAGTAGCTCCACCCATTGTGCACGTGCAAAGAGGCCCATCTTCATGTACAGAGAAACACCATCAGCCACAATATAAATGGACTTGTATAAGTTAGGTTGAATTCTTCTCTTACTGAGATAAGGAAGTCAGTGGAAAGGGGTGACAAAACAGCAAGCAAAGAAACAACTCCTGTAGCAGCCTTGTCAATGTGCATGCAGCTGCAGGGTCAATTTATGTGTGTCTCACAACCAGAGAAAAGATGTTGCAGCAATTAAGGTATAAAAAAAGGAGAGTCTGGCACAGTTTGGGCCACCAGGCTGGCCAAAAAAAAGACTGTATCCAGTAGATATTACCCAAAAATAGTCCACAAGATTAAAAATAGCCTGGACATATCAACATCTAAAAAAAGATCAAAAATTAAGCCCATAAAGATTGTAAGTCATATGAGCAGAACTTTAGAGGTTATAAAAGACAGTGATGAAAACTAAATTATACTAATTCATACTACCTAGTTTCAATCTCCTATCACCGGAGCCAAAACAAGCAGACAGCTTTATTTTTTATTTATTTATTTTATTTTCATTTTTTCTGGGATGTACAAACTGAAGGGGCTGTATGCCAGACCTCCCATGCTTCTCATACAGAGATCATGTTTCCTGCTTGCCCAGGCCTCTCTTCTGCCAGCATCTCAAGCATGTGCTTTGGTGGCTACCTCAAAAAGTGCCTGGAGGACTGAAAAGGCAAGAAGCAAGAAAGTGTGTCTGGAGGAACAGACTGTGTGAATCCCACTCTGCAGATCAGATATCTGACTCAGGTTTGAAAGGTTTTGCAAAGTATTTCATCTGCCACCTTCTCTTGCCCATGGGTTAGGATGCCCACCAAACGAAGTTGGTGTCCTGGTCTTGAACAGACAGCAGCAGATCTGACTATGAACAGGGACCAGCAGCTCAGGCAGCTGCTTAGCAAGTCTTGGCACCAGCAGGGGTGTAGCTAGCTGCCTGGGGGCATTTTAGACTTTAGTTACAGACCCAGGACCCTTAGTTAAGCATATATCCTGCAAAGATACTCTAATCTTTCATCTGCTTTAACCCTCCATCCCTGCTCAGCGGCATTAAAGGTTTAGTTCAGCATTTGCAAAAGGACCCAGATAGATGAAGAGCTTAAGGTGAAAGGATAAGCTAAGTGGAGGGGCTGCAGCAGAGGCTGATCCCATCTGGGGAACAGCAGAGTCCTGTCATTAGTGCCGTGTGCTGCTGCAAGCACTGGACACGAGCTGGCTCAGAATGAGCAGTCCCTGCATGAGACAAGGGCAGCCACGGGAGGGGCAGATAGGCTGCTGGGGCAGCATAGGGAAAGGAAGGGAGGGAACAGCTCTACTCAAAGCTCTGCTTGTGCAGTCATAGCCTGTCTGCAACCACAGCCTGTAAGCAGCCATATGGACCCAACCAGGCTGGAGATTCAAGTCTTCTTCCAGCCGTTGCTGAAGCGTCAGTACCCCAGTCCAGTCTCACCCTGGCTGTTACCATTCTCCTCCTAACTTCCACTACCCTCCTAGGTTTGTCAGCATAACAGTACATGCTTCCCTGATCCTCTGGAATCAAAGTGAGCTGTGCTAGCTCAGGCACCTGAAACACAAGGTCTTCCTGTATCTAGTTCAATGCTAGTAAATAGGTCAAGGAAAGCTGGCGGGGTGCGTGTGTGCCTGAATGCTGGGTGAGTGGTAATCTCCTCAGCCAACAGCCCTGGAGTTTACAGACTGACTTAGGCACCTCTGTGCTGATCCGCCCCATGCACCCAGGAGCTGACTTTGGCTTGTGTTCAGTGCAAGAGGGCGAGTCTGATCAGAGAAACTCCAGATGTGCCCAACACTTTTTCATCCCTACAGGCTCCCTGACTGCCTGTTCCCCCCACTAGCAGTCAAGGAGAAGGTTCCATTGAGGTCCAGCTGGGGTAAAGCAGAGCCACACCATCCTGCACACACTGCCAGGGGCACAGTACCCCCTCCTGGTACAACAGGATGTGAAAGCAGGGGGTGTGGATGGTGCTGGCCATGCAGGGTGCATTCCCTCTGCCCCAGCACACAAGAGTGTGATGCCGCTGAGCTGCCTTCTCACGCCAGCAGTTTTCATGCCTCTAGTTGCTTGCAGCTAGTGAGAAATGGTTTTGGTGATGCTTTAAATGCTCATATCTTGACTACTGGGGCCTAGCAATGCTCTCCTCCTACGTGTAATACTTGTCCTGTGGTGTAGATGGGTTTGGGGTTGAGCTTATGAGAGCACAGAATTTGCAAGTTCTCACCTCTTCCTTCCTTCCTTCTCAAGCACTCTCAAATCAAGATGCCACAAACAAACCACTTTCTTGCAAGTGCCTGTACTACTGTTTTATGTAATTCAGAACTGCAAAATCACTTTCTCTAGGTACCTTAGCAAGAATCAGTGTGAAATTCTCTGTCAAGGGATCCAAGGAGACCTGGTGTTGACTTCTCTGTAAAAGCAAGAACCTTACTCTCTAAATAAGATAATTATCATGAGGGTGTTTGTGCCCATTCTTGTTTTTGGGGACTCTCCTTTCTCTTTGCCACCATGACTCATAAAACTCATTAAGCCAGAGTATGCCTAGCAGAGCATTTAATTACACAGCAGTTGCAGGGTAGTGACAGAATCTATGTTTAACAGGCTGACAGCAAGATGGCTTTATCTACAAAGCTATTTAGATGTCAATATAGCCAGTGCCATCCATAAGGCTGGGCAAGCCATACCAGGTACAAAACCAGCAAGGAGGAAGGTAAAATTTGTGCCAGGAGTAGGCTCAAGACACTAATGATTTTTATAAACAGTCTGAAAACGTGCCTGTCATCACTATGTCTGGGGCACTGTGTAGAAACATTATCTGGTAAATCAACAGCCTTGCATGCACAGTGACCTAGATAGGAAATACGATGCAAGAAGGGAGAAGGTAAGACTGTGCACTGTTGTAACATAAAGATCAGGTTATTTGCTGCTGCTTTTATTCTAGCTATGAGTTTAATAGTCAATAAACCCTTGAAAACAAGTTCTAGCCCCTCCCTTCTTTCTCAGACACTCTCACAGCAACAAAGCATGTAGCCAGACCAATATATGAACAATGTATTTCTATACTTAGCAAAACATTAACAAAATATTCTTAAAACCACTGTACACATCTCAGCTATGGGTGCACGACTTCAAGAGTACAGCCTTAGGGTGTCTTGAGAAGCTGCTCAGAGGGATTACACCAACATTGGAGTGACTACTTCTCTTGTGTAGAACAGGCTTGTTTACATGAAGAAACTCTTTCCATTGTGGCCTTTGAGATTGCAGTAGACGATTCATTGCAGCAGGCTAGGATATGTGAGGATGATTTTGCTCACTGGAATAAAAAAGCAAAGGGAAGTTTTTGGGACACTGTTGGAAAGCCCCTCCCATTAGCACATTTTGTCCCGATTACTTAGAAGCCAAGCATGACTAAGTGCTTTGCCATCAGTTTTGGTTTTGTGAGGTTTTTCTCCTTGTAATTTAACTTACACTTTGTATCATACATTCTAAGGTCTGGTCTTACAATTCTACCATAAAACCTCAGCACACTGAAAGAAGCAAGCACTGTTCTGGTACAGAAAACACATCTTCCTCAACTTTAAAGAGATGAAGACATTTTAAGCTTTTTAAAAGAAATTGTAGCTGGAGGATACTTTCAGGAAGGCAGAGGAATGATAGCTTTGTAAGGCAGCGGCTCAGTTTTCCTACACATATCAAACGTCTTCAAGATCAAATAACTTCTCTATAGACCAGTGTTCAGTGCAGTCTGTAAGCAGAAAAATAGTTTGCTTTCATTTTTTCATTCTTCTGTAGACAGAATATTGTCTCCAAAATTAACCTTGTTCACTCCAAATTACTGAGCTGAGCCAAAATTAAGCCTCTGGTTTTTATTTTCATATTTTTTTCCCCTAAAAGTAACCAAACAAGTAATGGAGTATCCCTCTTTCAAATGTATAGTATACAAGACTTTGATATTGCCATGAGGCTGTCAGAGTGAAATTTTCCTTTTTCAATCCCATATTTTGCAGTTACTTCTTTTGAATATAATACATGAAACTTTACCCAAACACAATTTCCCCCCCACAATTAAACTGTAGCTAAATCTTGGAATACAGTGTTTTTTAATCTGCCATCACAATCAAAGGACCTACATTAATGAAAAGGGAGAGTGTTAGGTCAGAATCTTCTAGCTTCTGTAACAGTCATCTGGTTTCCTCCTATATTTACATATTTTTTAGAAACAAAATTCCAAGTATTTTGCTCTTGGGACTTAGTCCGAAGTTATGTTTGTGATTACTCTGTCACATATTCTCACACTCATGACAGTCCATCAGAAAAATTGAATAATTTCTACGTGGTAAATGACAGCAGTTCTTAGAGTGTGTACTGCTGTATTCACTGGTCCCAGTGAAACCATTTCTCCATTTGTGGTGGGAAGGGAAAGATCCCCTCTTCAGGAATGTTTCTTGACTGATTGAGGCAGGTATCTTTTTTTGTCATTTGCAGCTGATGATCACTGTGGCTGCATTTTCCACACTGCTGGCAGTAGTTTCTGTATAGCATCTAAGGGAATTTTTCTCTCCACACTAATTTTTGGGAAGACCATTACATGCTAATTATTCTCCTTTCAACCTGTCCTCACACCTCATCTGACAATGAGGGAGATCCTGTTCCCTTCCTGGTCCCACCACACTGCTCCACAACTCTGCTTCCTCTGCCTCCGTCAGAGCTCAGCATTCCCCCACACAGCAACATTGCAAAACCTCCTCAAGGATGAAGACCTCCTCTATTTATAGAGCACTGAGGCTAGACGAAAGTTTCCAGAGTTTTCTGGAAGAGCTCATGTCTAGCTGCTCTGAAGGCTTTCAAAGGGAAACAAGCTTGCACCTTGCTTTAGAGCTTTGCCTGGCATCTAACAATCACTAAACCTTTGCAGTACAGTATGTAGTGCACCAGGCATGTGTTTGATGTTATACATTGGTATGTATTTATGAACCCCTGAAAACTTTTCTTCCTGACGTGCTTGGGGCAGATTCTCTACCATGAACCCATATTCTCAACTGATTTTTGTCCTAGGTCTGTGATTCAGTGCTATCTTAAGATAACAGAGAGAAAAAACTGGTTTTAGCTTTGTGCTGTGTTTTTTTCCTTAAAAGACTGAGGCTGATATTTTTAAATCAAAAATAAGGTTCCATTAACAAATGCACTGCTGCATGTTGCTCCACAAAGATGTAATTCAGCATTTCTTTTACTTGTGTCACAAGTTAAATACTGAATATGCTTTAAAATAATGGATAAATGGCTGCAACTGTAGCTAAAATAAGGTAGGAGTCAGGCTGTGTTCACAGGATGGGCATACCCACAAACACAGTCTGTGTGTGTATATGAGCTAGCCATGTTCAGCCTCTGAAACTGATAAGCTGCTGCTTATTAAAAGAAAAAGGCAGCAAGCCCTTGATTACTTTTGCCCACAGCACATGGCTTTTATTGGAGGATGTGTTTGCACAAAGGGAGGAGTGCTGCCTCCCACACAAATTTCAACAACCATTTGAACAATTTGGTAAATAGGTGAGGACAGAGTCTTCATCTATTGTCTGCCTATCCCCTCCAGTCAGAAGTCAATCACACAGTGAGGAAGCTCTAATCTAAGGGAGAAATCCTTTTTAGGAATGTACTTTTTAATGAAAATTCTGGAACATGGTCCCACCATTACCAACAATCTGAGGGTACACACATACACCCCAATACAAACAAATGAACAAACAACAAAACACACCCAAAACAACAACAAAAAAGAGAGAATAATTAATAAGGGAGAAAATATAAGCCTAATGCAATAGAAAAGGAATAAAAGTGAAATCCACCTCCTGACACGTTAAGCATTATCATCTTCCTTTGCACTGTAAGTGGATGAAAAAGGAGCAAGTTGCTTCTTGACCTGTTTTTTGCTTCTGCATAAAAATGAAAGGCCATTTCTTCTAGTACCAATAAATGCCACCTTTTCTCTAAGTCACTAATTAGCTGACTGAATGAGCAAGGAACAGGTTCAGGTGACTCTAACAGTGGCAAACTGATGCAGAATGATAGCAAGACTCAATCACAGCTCAGTGCTAATTACAGCTCTGGAGCACATGCTATCATTCTGAACACAAAACAAGGATGTTAATAATACAAATTTAGCTGTGTGCGTGCACAAAATCCTTGTAAGCTTAATCATCCAGGACTTAATATTTCAGTACTGCTTTGTAAAAGCTCTCCAATGTACAATTCCACCATTATGTTTCAGTGGATTCATTAACACCATTGTGACATCTGAATGCCCATTGAAAGAGATAAAATGAATAGTGTCAGTTTAGATCATGTAGGGAGGAGACAACAATTTTCATAATACGGGAATTTAAATTATTGTATATCCACTACTAGCATTCTTGGTTTAGTAAATATCTGTCCTTGGTATAAGTTGCTTGGGATGTGCTTTAAAACGTGATAAAGTACCTTACTCTGGTATTAGTCAAAGAGTATTTGCACAAGCACAAGAAGAAATAAGAAGAAATAAGAAGACAGAGAACACTACCATAATGAAAGAAGACAGAGAACACGATCATAATGAATATGCATCAATATCACAAGTTTTAATATTATATTTGTTCAGTTCTAAAATATCAGTAACTATTATCATCAACAGCCAGAACCTTTCAACTACTAAAACATGAGAAGAAAAAACAAAGAAATAAACAAAAACTTACAAAATTGGAGTCCCTGGCATGCTATTTGCACCATCAATAGCTTGAAACACCTCTCCTTGCATCCGTAGGTGATGCTAGCTATTTTCCTGTCTTGGGACAGAATATCCTGCACTTTGGATCTGCTGATTCCCTCAATACAGTTTCAAAATGAAAAGCTTCTCTTCAGTCAGAGAAGAGAGAAAGTAGAAATGGGTCAAGTCACATAATGTGAAGTAAATAAGAATGAAAGTTACATGACATGACTGAGTCAGCTTACTATTCTGACTTGGGTGGTCCCACTTTTCCCTTCCCGACTCCTGGCCCTGCTGGTCCACACCCTCTCTTACACCACATCAAACCACTTGGTAAGCTGATCCAACTTGTTAATCCAACAGAAAGCTCCTCTCCTGGACTGACTCACCAAAGGGCCTGACAAGAGTGATGCCAAGGAGAACAGCTCTGGAGGGAGCAGAACCACCCCTTCTGGTGGCAGCAACTCAACACTGTGTCTTAAATGAACCACAACTGAAGAGAGCGTTGAAGGGCACGAGAACAGCACTGAAAGCAAACAGAAGAGCATGGAGTAAAATCCTGTGTCTTTGGGAAGAACGGAAATGCAAGAATAAACATCACAAAGCCTTTGGGATGGGGTAGACAGTGAAGGGTGCAATGGCAGGAGAGCAACAGGACATTGGATAGCGTTATGCATCAGAGGAGGGCATGGGAACACAGGTACTGTCCTGGCAGAAGGAAGAATGGGTAGTGACAGAAAACATGGTACTGAGTCCACCTGGATTGCAGAGGCTCTCTGGGGTACAGGCTCACAGTGTCTGTGTGTGTGTCTGTAGCCAGCCCTGACAAAGGTGAGCTCTTTGGGACAGATCTGCTACTTTGATAGTTTTAACAAAACACGAGCTATAATATTGTGTCCCCATTGTTCAAGAAAAGAGGGAGGACACCATTGTTCACTCAAAAAAACAAACAAAAATGAAGCCTGTCCTCATTCTTCTCAAGAAACTGCCGCATCAAAAAAAGAACAAAAATCAAACCACTGAGTGTTTTTGAGGAATACCACTTAGTCAGTCTTATCAGCTCAAAACTTGACTCACTATTATCTTTTCCTTCCCCTCTTAAATTACTGAGACAGGTCTCATAGCAGCAAATGTTTTAAGCTCACTGCTTTCTTGGAATCTCCCCTACTTGTACAACCATCTCCATAAGAAAAAGAGTTTAGGAGTATCAGAAATTGTGCTAGCCATCTGGAGAAAGGGAAAGCAAACTGAATCTCCACCCAAAGATAAAATGTCCAGGTTTTTAACAAATTTGTCTTCGCAATTTCAAGGAACACAGTTCTTGAGTTCCTCTCTTGAGCTCTGAGTAATTATTCCTAGGTAATCCGAAAAAAAAAAAAAAAAAAAGGTGGAGACTTTGTAACTCATTAAATAGCACAATATATTGCGAGGCATGAGCTGCGGTATTCTCAAGCTTCCCAAACCAAGGGGCAGAGGGCAAACTGTCCTTGCCTACACCCCAGGGCATCCCTGTTCTCTTCTCCAAGTACAAGACCAGGCACTGGCAGAAGAAAGAACTACGTGCCTGGCAGACGAAAGACAAGGAAAGAGAAAATATGATGTGCAATAAATCAGGTACACACAAAATAATGGTGGCAGGTCACATCATCCTAACACTGCTCGGCATTGTTTCCACCTTAATGATCTTTCAGCATGTCACCATGCTGAATCATGATGACAGAGGGGCAGGAAGCACATATCAGATGCAGAATGAACAGGTCCTTTTGTGATTGTGGTGCAATGAAGCACCGGGCTTTCTTTATGTTGGAGTCCTCTGTTCTCACTCTGGAAGACTTGTCTGCACCAAAATCAAGAAAAGGTTCTGGAGCAGTTCAGATAAATTTGACCTACATGCAGATTAAACAGGAATCTCTCATTTTTTGCCCCCAAAACTGCTTATTGCTGTATCAGTGCATGAATTTCAAATGGGTTTTAAAAATGTTCTTTAAAAGTAATTTTCTGTTCATAACTGGACTTCAAGCACCCTGAGGGCCTGCTGGCTTGCTTAAGTTAGAGGCCAAAAATGTACATAATTGTCAGTCTTTAGCAAGACAGGGAGTTCTTTTCTAACCAGAGCCAGGAATACTCCCTCTGGAGAAATCTCACAAACAATGTGAAAAAAACTTTTGAACTTTCCATGGTACAAAGTTTAAAATGAGGACAAAACTGGAATGAGTTGGTCTTGAGCATTTTCTAAGCTGTGCTGCATTTCCATAACTTTACAGATACAGACATCTGGAAGCAGAATTTTCAGCTAGAAAGAAAAAGACCCCATTGTTCTGTATTTCACTAGCATAATTAATTTTCCTTAAACATGAATAAAATTATTACAGTAGACAAAAATTTTAATATGTATAAATCTCTCCAGATCAACCCTAACTGTATTTTTGGTGTAATAAAAATAGGCTATATTCCCAGATATGAAAATGCATATAGTTTCAGATAGATTCAAGGACAGCAAAAGCAATTTTAGTTAAGCAGTCTGGAGGAATCTCATAATATTAGACAGTATTAAACACAAGTTTACATAGAGTAATTGAGAATACTCCTTATAATTTAGTCCAACATTTATAAACTCAGATTATAATGAAAGGGGTTTTTTTTTAAACATTAGACCATTATGATATTCAGTGACAAACAACCAACTTATTCTATTACTTTAATTTCAGCAAAAACTTTTAGGGAAACTCTACAATGGCATCAACAAGCACTAAGCAGAATGAGAGATGGCACAGGGTACTGCAGATTATTTTCAGGGCTCTAAGCCAAATTCTCTGTTGTCCCAAGCGCCCTTTGCCACGTCATACTGTGGAAAACACCAAGTTCTTGGCATATCAAAACCTGGATCTTGAAAAGTTCTGAGACTCCTTCAGTTATGGAGCCCAAGTGATTTGAGGGGACCCTGTGTTTGGTCATGTGCTTCTCTGTAATGGCTGGCACTAGTCCCAACAGGCAATAACCCCACACCTTCCAGATCACCTCTACTAGGTGACCCTTTCCTTGCTTTGCAGAAACAGGGGCCAGGGGAGTAGCTGCGAGATAAATAAACGATGCTAACCCTTTGAGTACCTCAGGAAAAAAGCGTGCATTCAATAAAAGAGCACTTGCATAGCCTTGTGGATGTACTCTGTACACTTTGTCCTGATTAGAAAGGAAGTGAGTTTAACAGAGAATCCAACTCAGACAAACAGTTCTCTCCTTTAACTTGGAAAATCTGCAAACCTGTTACAGTTCACTTTCCAGTATGAAAAGCAAGCTTGAAAAATGGCACTGTTGAGACCATTGAAGAATGGTCTAAGCAGAATAGTAGCAGTCAAGCTGAAGAACATGGTGGAGTGGTCTGGGTGGAGGAGAGCAAATGCTACAAGCCCCCAAGTTCTGACTTTTAATTATGATGCTGTTGTGGACATGCACCTGTGTCACTGATGCCTGATGCTATCAGCAGCACATCTAGCTTCCAAGAAGCCTTCTGGCAGCAATGAAAACCTTAGCCTGGAGTTCAAGCACTTTTCCCATTCACAGTAAAACTATCTCAACATGAGATTACTTACTTTTTATTTAAACTTTACTTCTAAACGGACTTTGTAACCTTCTACAATCTTGTTACTCTGCATTCCCTTTCTTCTTCCCCCAGCTTCAAAGAGTCTTTTTTGGTTGCTTATATAATCTCAGCACTGCAGTACACAAGCCATTGAAAGCATGGTATAAATGCAGCTATTATTACTACTTAATAAAACCAGAAAAGTTATTCATTGACCAACCTTTTTTTTCCCCTTTCTAATAAACATATCAGATCCATATCTAACTGGTGATAAAAACCTATGACCTTGCACTAAGTTTATCCCACAACATCTTCATCATGACTAGTATTTAATTTCAAAGACTTTTCACTACATTCTCTGCAAAGCAGTATGTCTCATCATTACCTAGTCACCAGGAAAGGTCTTTTCCAACATTCAATGACACAGACAAGCAATTAGCTATCTTAGAAAGGCTACTTTAGGGACCAAGAGTAACTAGCTGAAAAGAAAGAGAAGGAAGTCCCTCCTCTGTTCTGGCAACCAACATATTGATCATTTCACTTGGTATACCATATGTTGCTTTTTGTTGTGCTTTGTCCTTACACTGTCTTTTAAGGAACAAGCTCTTTGGCAATGAATAGAGTCTCATATGCTTGGAAAACATTTCTAGCATGGTGCAGACACTATTGTATTATAAATACTCATTGTATTCCTGAGTTTCCTTACCACCACTGCTCCTCAATACAGTGTTGTCACTGTAAAACAACCTTCATTAAGTTTTGTGTCATTGGCCTAGTGCTGCAATAAGGCAAAATGCTTCATACACCAAAACGTGGATTTTGTTGAACTTGGTATTTCTGTTGACCATGCTGTAAAACAGTATGATGTCAAGACAACTGAAGTAGCTTAGCACATTAGCAAATGTGACAACTGAGAGCTTTAATTGCATCCCATATGGAAAAGAGAGGGAAAGAACAGAAGACTTTTGAAGACAAATTAGCTTGTAAATTAATAACTATCATTAGATTTTAGCCAGGCACCATATTTGTGCCTTGGTCTTTTTCTTAGTTGTTTCATGGTTGGATGATTGAGTTTGGAGTCTGTGACTTTCATCTCCATTGTGTTTGCAGAAGAAGCAAATCTTTAACTCTTCAGTTTCTACCTGGCAGAATACCATTGTTAGCATTTCTCAAGTTTTTGAAAATAGCCTTGACTCTCTTCTCATTTAGCCCAGTTAAACAATGCTGCAAGTCCAAGGTAATCAGCTGAATTAATCTCATTTCTAAGCATGCTAAAGTAATGCCTAAGCCTAGTATTTTTGACATACCTCATATACCTATAACTGAAGGAAAAACTTTCATTAAACCAACATTTAAAATCTGTCTTCATGCTCTGAATTTAAAACTTGGTGGTTTTAATCCACTTCCTTCTGCCCTTACCACAAAGAGATTACTAATCTGGAATTTTGTTTTTAGTTTCCATCTTTTCCAGTTCATTTACCACTTGTTTTTTTTTCTTTGGTGGTTGTTGTTTTTAATTCACCCTTGGAGCTCACTAGTCATATTCACCTTGAAATTTTATCCACTGGGCTTTCATGACCTTGTCCCCTCAGTACTCCTTTCGCCTTTCTAATAATTCACCTTGGTTTTCCTTCTCATTTTTCATGTATGTACCACAAGGCACTTGTAGCCTTGGTACACTTTGTTTCTCCTACATCCTTCACATAGTACACTCAGTGCCTCACATTCCTCCAAGTCTTACTACTATGCCAATCAATCCCAAATCCAGTTCTATAGGACAGATAAGAACAAAACCATTTTAACTGCATACATAAAGTCATCTCACTATAATACAAGTATATTACAGTGTTAAACCTCAAAAAAGCCCATGAGAAGCAAAAGCATACAGTGGCAGAGAACAAATCACTTATTTAAAGTCCTGTGAAGTCCTGTGGCAGCCTCTGGGTTACCAACCAGAGGATTCATTTCACCTTTCTACCTCAAGATCTGCATATTAGCTCATGTATTTTACACTTCTTGAGCTTTAGAATGGATTTGTTTAACTTACAGGCAGTGCAGACCAACGGTATGCATCGTGTCTCACCAGCCTAGCCCACGGAGCGGATACTTGCTGTTTGTTCACCCAATGGTTCTCTGAGAAGATGGGCAGGAGAACACCCAGCCCAGGAGGAATCCTTGCTCTGCCTCACCACATGTCTCTGAAGCACTGACCACCGTGTTGGGTTGTACGGCAGGAAACTGCAGAATATACTCCACTTTCCTAAACTATACCACAAGCAAGCAAAGCCACGGTTAATCAGATCAGTGGAAGCTTAAACATCACCTCAGAGGAGTCCAGATCCCCATGTGGCTTCTGACAACCGACGTGACTGAGCTGAGACCTTTGTCCCTCCACCAGCACTGCTCTGCCAAACGAGCTTCCTTTTTCCTGTCAGGGACCTTGCCATGTTCATCGCGGCACAGGCCCCAACTCCTGGCCTCGCCTTGTTTTGGCAGCTGCATCAACTGGCTCCTTCTTCCTGCTTTTTACTTTTTCTTTTCTTAATCGGCCTAGCTCCGGCCTTCATTACCACCCCGTTAGGCGGGACACAAGCCACGTGTTACTTATGAAGGACACCGCACATGTCTCTCCCGCTGTACCAGCTATCCGGCGGGAGTATTTTGGGGCCTACACGAGTGACAAAACCTGGCCCTCCGCTGCAGCCGGGTGCCGCTGCCACCACCCTGTCTGTCACTGAAGAGACAGTGCCCAGCTTCCACGTCACCCGCCGCTCCTCGGTGCCCCCGCCTCACCTGCGGCAGGCCCACAGACCGCTGGGGCAGCGGGCCAGCTCGCTACTAGGGTCACGGGCACCCTCAGATTAGCGACCAAGCCAGCGACCACGGGACGGCCCCGACAGCCCAGACCGGTGACACCCCCCAACAATTTCCCCACTCTCCCTGCCGGGAACACCGCGCTCGTCGTAGTAGGTTAAGGGCGCCATCCCCACGGGAGCGCTGCGGCCGCCCCGGCCCGGCCCGGGGGCTGTCCGTGCGCCCAGGGCCGGGCCCGGCAGCTGTAGCAGCGCCTCTCAGCCCCTCACGCAGCGGCGCGGAGGACGCGGCCGGCCCCGGCCCGGCCCCGCCCGCCCGGCCACGCCCGCCTGACGCGCCGGCGGCGCTGGCGGGCTGGAAGTGGCGTACGTGCACAGCGAGCTTCTGGAGTGGCGCCTCCTCCTCCTCACCCCGGCACGGCGGCGGAGGCGCGGTGGACAGAGGCGGCGGCTGCGCCGGCCCGTGCTGCACCGGGCAGAGAGGCCGGCGGAGAGCGGAAGGCAGCCCCGCACCGCGCCAGCCCGCTCCCCCTCGGCCGTTCCGCCGCCGGCGGGGCGGCGATGAGGCGGCGCTAAGCAGCGTTAGCGGCGCAGGGAGGGCGGCGCGGGCCCGCGCGCGCCGGAGGAGGCCGCGGGCCGGCGGAGGCGGAGGGCGGCGGGGGCCGCGGCGGAGCCGGAGCCGGGCGGCCATGATGCAGTGAGCGCTCCCTCCCCGCGCGGCCGGGCGGGGGCCCGCGTTAGCGCCGCTCCCGCCCGCCTCCTTACATAACACACCCCGGCGGAGCGGGGCTGCGGCGGCACCACCAGCGCCATGGCGAATGACAGCGGCGGAGGCGCCGGTCAGGGCGGCCAGGGCGACACCAGCAGCGGCGGCACCAGCAGCGGCGGCACCAGCAGCAGCGAGAGGGACCGGCAGTACTGCGAGCTCTGCGGGAAGATGGAGAACCTGCTGCGGTGCGGGCGCTGCCGCAGCTCCTTCTACTGCAGCAAGGAGCACCAGCGCCAGGACTGGAAGAAGCACAAGCTCATCTGCCGCGGCGGTGGCGCTGCGGCGGCTGGAGCGGCAGGGGGCGCTACCGAGCCCCGCGGCGGGCACCCCCCGCCGCCCCGTGCCCACGGCGGGGCCGCGGCGGGCGGCGGCAGCCGGGCGGGGGTCGGGAAGGGCGCAGCGCCGCCGTCCCCGGAGGCCCTCGCCGAGGCCGCCCCGCTGACCAACAATCACGTCGCCGCCGCCGCTGCAGCTGCCGGCGGTGAGTCGGAGGCTCCGGCCGCGGCCCAGTCCCCGTCGCCCTCCGGGGAGGCAGTGCTGCTGTACCGGGACAAGTCGAACCTGTACCCGGGTGGCGTGCAGGCGGGGCCCGGCGGGGCCGCGCTGCGCCCCAACGGGCAGACCAAGTCGCTGGTGCCGCAGCGGCTGGCGCTGGAGTACATCGTGCCCTGCATGAACAAGCACGGCATCTGCGTTGTGGACGACTTTCTCGGCAAGGAGCTGGGCGGGCTAGTTGCCGAGGAGGTGCGGGCCCTCCACCACACCGGCCGCTTCACCGACGGGCAGCTCGTCAGCCAGAAGAGCGACTCCTCCAAGGACATTCGCGGCGACAAGATCACCTGGGTGGAGGGCAAGGAGCCGGGCTGCCAGACCATCCGGCTGCTCATGAACAGCATGGACGATCTCATCCGGCACTGCAACGGAAAGCTGGGCAACTACAAAATCAACGGCAGGACGAAAGTGAGTGAGGGAGGGAGGGAGCTGGGACCCCCGGCATCCCCCTGCTCCTGCAGTCGCGGGGGTTTGTGGCGAGGGGCGGGAGCGGGCCGGCTGAGCCGGCGCTTCCCCGGGTGCGGGCGTGTGTGCGCGCACGTGTGCGGCTGTCTGCGGGGCTGCGTGCGTGTGCGCACGTCCGGCCGGCCCGCTGTCTGTCCGTCCGTGCGGGTGCCTGTGCGGGCTGTGCTGTGCATGTGCGCCCGCTGCCGCTCCGCTCCCCGGAGCCGACTCATACTTGAGAGTCGTGTCCAGTTCTGCGCTCCTCAGTACGAGAAAGAAGCTCCTGTCTTTCTGCAGAGGGTCACAGAGATGATTAGGGCTTTGGAGCATCCTATCATGAAGAGACGCTGCGGGAGCTGAGCCCTTATAGTCTAGTAAAAAGAGGATAGCAAGGATCTCATTAATGTATGTAAATATCTCAGAGGTTGATGTTAAAAAGACGATGCCAGACTCTTCAGTGTTGCTCAGTGACAGGACGAGTAGCAGTGGCCGTAAACTAAAACACAAGAAGTTCCACCTCCACAAGAGGAAGAACTTCTTTACATTGAGGGTGGCAGAGCACTGGAACAGGCTGCCCAGGGAAGTCGTGGGGTCTCTATCTGGAAACATTCAAAATCCACCTGGACGCCTTCCCGTGTCACCTGCTTGAGGTGACTCTCCTTGGGCAGGAGAGTTGGACCGGATCATCTCCAGAGATCCTTTCCAACCCTGTCAGTTCTGTGGCTCACGCCCGGCCGCGGTGGGACCCCCATCCCCAGCGGGCCTGGGCAGCAGCCTCGACGGACGGGTTGCTGTCCCGCGGGCAGCCTGGCGATTGCTCTCTGCCGGGAAGGTGCAAAAGGATTTGTTTGCAGGGAAAAAAGGTGATCTTGTTTCTATGCCTACGTTTTGTTAAAAAACACTTTAGGTAGAAGCTTATCCGCTAGGTGATGAGTATTGAAATGCGAGTTCTTTGGTGGTCTCCCGAAAAAAGCCCGGGTAGCAGTACTCTGATGGGTTTCGGGAAGCAGGGGCCTGGCTGCGAAGTGTCCCGGCAGCGGCGCTGGCTGGAGAACGTGGAACGACTTGTGCATAGCGTTTGTAGGCTCGCATGAATGGGCCAGGTTTTGGTAAGCCTTGACTCAGGATGTGGCCTGCCAGGTGCAGGACTAAAAAATGTGGTTAGGAGACCCGCATCAGTGAGTGAGTGCCCCAGTGGCACAGTGCGGCGCTCTGGCAAATGGTATTGTGGCAGGCAGCGGAGTCACAGCCGTGGAGCAGGGCTGCTTTGGGCAGTTTTTATTTTACTCTCATCAAGTCACTTTTCTGCAAAAGTCTTACTCCTTAGCTCTATTTCGAGATCAGAGAACTGAGTCAAAATCTCCCATTGTATTAGCCTAATTTGCGATTCCTTTCCAGTCCTTTAAATAAAATTCATGCCTTTGGTAGAGAACTAGTAATGAATATGCATCAGTATCTTTTCAGTTAAAAAAAAAAAAGAAGAGGGGTGAAACCCCTTCAGACTTTGCTACCTCTGTTAAAGCATAAGGAAGCCAGTGAAATGGTAGGAGTCATGCTGCCGAGGTGGTTGCACTGTCACAGATGGACTGTTGTTGCTGCAGCTGCAGAATCTCAGCTGGTAGGAAGCTGCGAGAGGGAGGAAGGGAGAAACTGGACGGCAAAAAACAGCCCTGGATTTGTTCAGGGCACGGGAAACTCCCATGATAAAGAAAAGAGGGTGGGAATTTTTTAATTTTTTTTTGTAATGCTGTCTTTGCGTTTCTTCAGTCAAACCAGTATTGTGCAAAAACTTTTCAATGGGAACATGGTATAGAGTCCTCACAGATCACTGCAGGACTTTTCTAAGCCAATTCAGGCACTCTAAAATCTCTTCAAGGCTTCACACTTGCGCTCTAAAAATATCAGTAGTTTTGCTGGATTTCAATTTTTTGCAGCAAAAAGGAATACTGCTTCTGTTTTTATGTGCAGTGGTATGCTTAAGAATAGGTGCCAGGGCTTTTGGAGTTTTAGTCCTGAATCATACCTGATTGCAGGCATGATTGGATGACTTGGTTTTCAGTCACTGCTGAAATCCCTGTTTGGGGGATCAGAACAGGTGCAGGGATCAGATCAGTAAAGCACAATACTTTACTTGGTGTCACAGAAATGCATTACTTTTTTTTCTCACTTTCCCTTGCTTATTTCCCCACGAAAGTCAGTGCTTTTAGTGTGCAGGAAAGCTCAGTTCTCTAAAATTCCAGCAAAAGCAGAATCAAAACTGTCATTCATTCCCAAAGATTTACCTCAGAGTTGAATAAACAGAAGCAGAGGATACCTAGAGTATAACTTCAAATAACTTGTATTGTAACCATATAACTTTTAACTCATTGGTGGTGTTGGCATTGAATTTGCCATCACTTCTACAAACTGTCTAGAAGCAGTGTATGAAAAAGCAAGAAGAAATGGGTCTGAGGTACATATACCCTGAATTTCTTGGCTTGTAAACCTGCCTGTCAGGGAAAAAGCTATGTTGTGTTAAAAAGATCTAATTCAAACTGATTTACATTCACAGGGTCAGTTCATTAGGACAAAGAACATGAAATAAGGTGAAATAAGGTAAAATGTTGATTGTGACCTGAGATTTTGCATTTTAAAGTTTCTGATAGGTGTTTTCTCTAGACTACCTGGGCTATCTAGAGCTGATCTACTTAAACTGATGTGGTTCTACCTAGTCTTGAGAATCAAAAATTACTCTCCATCCTGAAAGATATCTATACAGCAGTAGTTATAAACTAGCCAAGTACCTTTGAGGTGTGTGGAGACAGCAGCAAGTATAAGAGAATGGCTGTTTACTCATCTTGGAAGTCCTGACTTACTGCATTCCTTGCTTTTGTTCTCTTTCTTTCCAGACTCTGCTTCCTTCTTTTCTCTAGCAGAAGGTGGCACATACTTGCATATTTGAGCTCTGGTGTCTTTCTCCTACTTCCTGCTATTTTCTACTTTTTATACTTTCATCTTTTCATAAATTCTCTTCTTTTTTTCCTTTGTCTTATCAGTTGCCACATTTGTATGTGCATGTATTTTTGTTTCCTGCCTGTTTTGTTCTTACTTAGCTGGAGAGGAGGAGGTAAAAGCCTGCTCATCAAAATCAGGAAAAGAAATGGTCCTGAATCTCACCCAGGTGAG